TGAAAATTTTGGCGGGTGAACTATTAACTCGGGAATCACGGAAAGATATTCACCTTTCAAGATTTCAAATTCAGCTTTAATGTGCAGATGCGTGAAATTTTTAACTATTTTCCAATGTTTGAACTATTTTTGCGTAGACTAAAGTACAAAGCAATGAATATCATTAATAGGCAATCGTTCAATGGGCTGAATTGCACAAAACGCATGATCGCACCGGCTAGCCTGGTACGTGTTGCTATTTATATAAGGATTGTTTAGAAGCAAGCTATCGGCGGACTTGTCCTCGGTGTACATAACAGCCATAAAATGAATTTGTTCCATTAGACATTCACTTCAAAATACCAAAATGTGGCAAGAAACAATCTGCAGGCTGCGCCTTGCTCACCAATCCAGACTATCATATCGCACCAGCCGAAATCTATGCTAGCTTGATAACGCCTCCAACAGATTCCTGTGCGCCAGATACTGTGCAGTATAATAATAACCTTGGAACGAATGGTTCGATAACATTGAATTGGACGACAATTGATCAAACTTCTATACCAATTCTACCTCAGTTACTAACTCGTGACACTTCGCATCAAGAGGAAAGATATGTCCTTAGCTCGAAGTTAGTTAATTTTTTCTCTTGTTTATTTCATCGAATATATGCAAGTGTTAGCCAGCTTGAAAGATGAGAAGTTTTTTAGGCAGCGCTAACATGCACAATTTAGCTTATAATTTATTTGCTTTTGCTATTTTTTGTGTCAAAAAGTGGCATGAGCAAACAAATTATAAGTTGAATTGTTTCATTGTGATGTTACTAAGATGCTCTTAAATATCGGGTACAGCCTGTAGTGAACTGGGCCCCCAGTTACAAATTCATGTGGTCTGGGAGGGCGTCGAACACTCACCCTCACACGCAGGCACGACACGCTGGACCATTGCACTACTGGAATTGGCATCACAGGATTAGTCAGGGTTAGCATCTGCTGCGTACCTGCCTTCAAGGCAGTCCGCATCTTTCCTTGTTTGCGTCTCCCAAGAAAACATACTTTTCTATGTCGGTTACTTCGTCAACGGTTTCAGCGAAGTCCAGCAATAATGACAAGCCGCTCTCTTCTGAACTGCATACCTCCACTTCCTGACACTCTGTATTATTGACAACTACAACATATTTACATGCTCTTTCTACCCAGTCTGGAACATAAGCCCAAACAAGTTAAAACAGACCTGCATAAATGTGATCTTGTCTAATTCCTGAGGTTAATGTTGCTTTTGTTAAATGTGCGTCGTTTTGTTAAAACAGCGTATTTAGAAAGACATGTGGAAGCATCTCAATAACATCATTACTGCCGGTGTGGGTAATTTGGGATTTTTGATATCAAAAATCCGTAGACATGACCATGTGCGTTTTTTGAAAAGAAGCCAAAAGAGGACAGTTTGTTTGACAATGCAGAGACGCTTCAGCGGTGCACATGTTAATTTCAGGTCAACAATAATGCATGTTATGAGCACTGGCACATTCCACGCGGATACCGAATTTATTCATGAAATTCCATCCTATTGGCAGTGGAGTAATGGCGATTCAGTGGTGCTTGTGCCAGACGTGCCCGACCTATTGACCCACGTGACTGTACGCTTAAATCTAATTTCATGAAAGTAGTTAGTAGCCCCTGCGCTATTCCAGGAGCAAACAGTGATGTAAATTGGCATGTTAAGGACTAATGGTTTTGCTACTTAGGGAAAATACTAGCTGAGCGGGAAGTGAGTCGCTTGCTAAAAAAAATGCAGTGCATCTGTAGAATCTCAAATTTTGTTTTACCACGTCTCTGATCTCTTTTTTTTGCTTAAGTACCGCAACTTTGCTTCATGCTAGCTAAAAAACCATTTTTACAACCGGTCAGTGCTATTTAATTGTCTGAGAAGTTAGCTAAATTTGTCTATCTCTACTTAGGCCTATTTCTTTGACTAAGGATCATTTCGAAATTGTTTTATGTTTAAGCACTCTGAAGCAAGCTTGTTAATGGGAAAAGACTGCATTTAAGCATTGTTCGCCACTGGATTTATCGTTACTTTTCCAGCATTTCTGTTTCTAAAATTTACATATTGCTAAAACTTTATGCATATACGCAATCAGCTTCAGGTTCTGTGCGATGATATCGAAAGTGGAGCCCTATTTGATGATGATTACCTGGACTTTGAAGAAGGATTTTCTTTGCATGATTTAGCCACTGTCTATTCATATCGACAAAGGACTGTGTTTCCTGGAGTGCACAGAATTTCTCTAGATCAACGGAGTCATGGCCGCTATGTAGCGTTTGTTTACGGTAGCGATGGAAGACATTCATTCGGTTACTCTGTTCCCGCAAGCCGTATGTTTTCTTTGCCGACATTTATGTACTGACGGTATCATGGCCGCCCGTCTATTCGGTTTGGGGATTCTTTGTTAATGATTTTACTGAGGCGCCACACATGCAGTAGTTACAAGGCTTTCGATTCTGGAATGCTTACATCCAGTAGTATCCACTCGCTGTACTATTAGCGCCACTTCTTTGGAGCCACTCGAGTGGTCGTTTATTTTCTCGCGGATGCTGCTTATTCAGCGGATATCAGCAAGGCCAGCAATATGCGCTGCAGATCGGATTTTACTTTCTCGCATGATCGCAATGGTAGGCTGCAAGCCGATCATCTGACGAGAAGATTGATTGTACGAATGGCTGTGAAGTGACATGCTAAGCGTCCTCTATCCTGTCGCTTTTGCTGTCACAGCCAATGTTCGTTTTTAGCTTTCCTCGGCGCCTACAT